AGCTGCAGGGTCAGGAGAGCGAGGAGGCGACGAACGACGACGACTTCGTTCTCACCTCGATCCTCGCCAAGATGGAGGAGTCGATGGAGGCCCAGCGGCGGTCCCAGGCCAGCCTCGTGGAGGACCTGGCCAAGTTGCGTGCCCTCCGAGCGCAGGAGCTATCCGTGGCTCTGCGCAATGGGGTGGCGGGCGCCGTCGACGAGGCCAAGGTGCGCCTTCGGGCCGCCGTGGATCGGCTCCGTCTGGCCGAGGCCGCCTTCGACAACAAGATGGCCACCTTCCAGCGGCAGTGCGAGGTCCTGCAGCGGGCGTCCCAGCGGCGGTGACGGTCTCGCTGAGGGCTGAGGCCGTGGAGGGGTCAGCAGCAAGAGTGCCAGCTGCGTGGATGGCCTCGCGGATTGCTGGGATGGCCGTTGCGCCTCTGCCCGTCGTCGGGGTGCGGGTTCCGCCTCTGAGAGGGCCCCAGCGGTAGAGACACTGCCCCCCTTGGCGCGGTGTCCGCCGTGGCTGAGGGGCCTGAGGGGGCGGTCCCTCGGGGTGCCTGGGCCCGCATTCGCCGTTGGCGGGGCCTGGGCACGGCGCGTGTTCTCGCTTTTCAGCCCCCCTTGGCACCAGGCTGAGGGGCCTAGGGTGGGGCGCGGCCTCAAGGGGGCCCTTTCGCTCTGCACCCTGGGGAGTTCGGCGGGGGCGCTGCCCGCGGCTCGGCTCCGCACAGGCTCGGCAGGCGATGACCTTCGCTCGAGAGCCCAGCGCACGGGCCTGGCGAGGTGTAGACGCCCCAGGCTGCCGAGGCACCAAAGCACCAAAACACACACACGCACGCACGCACGCACGCACACACACACACACACACACACACACACACACACACACACACACACACACACACACACACACACACACACACACACACACACACACACACACACACACACACACACACACACACACACACACACACACACACACACACAAAAACACAAAAACAAACACGCTGCAGCTCCCTCGCGCCCCCGATGCCGCAACTCTGTGTGCATCACGTCGCGCCTGCGCTCCCGAGGCCACAGTCGTTCACACACGTGACGACACGCTCGCGCTCCCGACGCCACGACCCCCTCGTCGATGCCGGCGTGCTCGCGCCCACGGGGCGGCTGCCCCCTGTGCACACTGCCTGGCGCTCGCGCGCCTCCGAGGCACGCAGTCTGTCGCAGCTTCCCAGCAGGGGGGCCGCCCTGGAGAGCGGGAGGCGCTCCAGAGAGGAAGCCGGCCAGCTGGAGTAAAGCCAGCGGCATGTCCCACGGCTGCAGTGTCAGCGAGCGCCGCGGCGCCCTCCTGGAAGTTCCGGCGTGTCCCGCAGGCGCTCATCCTCCAGCCGTTCCCAGTGCACATTGTTCATGTCTGATCCTTCGAGAGTTCTCTGATTTTTCGGGGGGGGGCCACGGCCCTCCCATTTCTAGTTGTTCTACCCTGGGCCTCTTCCTGGCCCGTAGGGGGCCAGGGGCAGTTAGAAGCGAGCAAATGAGCACGGTCAGAAATGAACGACGTGCCGTGGGCCGCAGGCGTCCGCGCACCTCCTGGAGGCGCCTCCTCGGCCCGCGCGGAGCTCCGGCCGCCTCGTGGGCTCGCGCGCCGTGCCCGGACGGCCCGCACGAGCAGCGCTGCTGACGGCTCGCGCGCGGGTCGTTTTTTGCACCCCGCAGGCGGCGCTTCCTCGGCCGCCTCCTCCTCCCTCCCTCCTCCTCTCCTCCTCCCTCCTCCTCCTCCTCCTCCTCCTCCTCCCCTCCTCCTCCTCCTCCTCCTCTCCTCCTCCTCCTCCTCCTCCTCCTCCTCCTCCTCCTCTCCTCCTCCTCCTCCTCCTCCCTCCCTCCTCCTCTCCTCCTCCTCCTCCTCCTCCTCCTCCTCCTCCTCCTCCTCCTCCTCTCTCCTCTCCTCCTCCCTCCTCCTCCCTCCTCCCTCCTCCTCCTCCTCCTCCTCCTCCTCCTCCTCCTCCTCCTCCTTCTCCTCCTCCCCCTCCTCATGACGGCCCCCACGAGGCCCAAGCCCTGGGCAGAGGCGGCGCCGCTTTTCGCGTGGTCTTTTTGTTGTCGCACGGGCGGAGTCCTGGCCCTCCTCGCTCGGCCTGGCCCTGGAGCTTTTATATTCCAAGCCGCTTGAAGCGAAAAGTTCGTGTCTTGCAGGTGTTGCGAAAAAACAAACAACGGCCCCGGGGACAGGGTCGGGACTTCGGGGACGCCGTGCCGAACAAATCAGGACGCCACATGTCTGGGAGTGAGTGAATGTGTTGAGCGCGGGGGCGAGGGGTTCGTGGGCGGTGGGAGTGGTTGGGGCTGGGCGTGGACCCCATATACCCAGACATGTGGCGTCCTGATTCTTTCAGCACGGCGCCCCCGGAGGCCCCGATCCTTTCACCGGGGCTGGTTTTTCATCCCGAGCAGTTTTTCGACGGTGCCGAAAGTAGCGGAACAACCTCGCGCCCTGATTTCTGTGACGAGGAGGCATG